AAAACAAAGGGAAGGGAATATTCAGTTAAATTTTTTTATCGAGACATCAAAATGATGATTGTTAATAATCATTTCTTGTCGTCAAGATAAATTATGCTGATAAGGATGATGATGGTTAAAACGGTTTTGTTTAAACTGATTTATTCAATTATTTGGCGCCTAAATTTAATTTATGCATAATCTGTATATTTTATTCAAGGATTCAATGGTTTACCAGAGTTTTTTATTGTTAATAAATAAAACAAGAGAATGTGAATTATCGATTAACTTTTTTCTTCATATCCCTCTTGATAATAATCATAATAAATAAGGTTGTTTTTTTTTGAAAACGCGCTGAATAAACTTCCATTGAACATTGAATGAGTTAATTTAAACAAAACTTTGACATTGACTACAATAACTGCTAGTTGGTAATAATTTTTTTTATTATCTGTTTAGATTATATATTATTAATAAATTCTAGTGGTGTAATAATGATGAGATACTTGTTCAAAAAATAATTGAACATTGAATGAGTTAGTTTAAACAAAAATTTGACATTGACTACTAGTACTTATACTAGTTGGTAATCATTTTTTTTATTATCTGTTTAGATTATATATTATTAATAAATTCTAGTTGTGTCATGATGAAATACGTGTTCAAAAAATAATTGAACAATGAATGAGTTAATTTAAAGAAAAATTTAACATTGACTACAATAACTGCTACTACTTACTACTACTAGTTGGTAATTATTTTTTTATTATCTGTTTAAATTGTACATTCTTATTAGATTCTAGTGGTGTAATGATGAGATACGTGTTCAAAAAATAATTGAACAATGAATGAGTTAATTTAAACAAAAATTTAACATTGACTACAATAACTGCTACTACTAATGAGAAGACTGAGGTAGGCGCGGAAGATTGTATTTTGCAAATTTACACTCTGAGTCAATTAAAAACGAAAACATTACATTGAATACACACTCTATTTGCACACCATCACCTTTGAGTCGTGACTTCCAACACTCCATCCTTCTTCCATTCCTGTTGTTGCTTCCTTTCCTTCCTGTTGTTGGTACTCCATTTACTTCTTGCTTTTGTTCCATTTGCTTTCCGTTTTCCTCTTCTGACCGTGAGACTTCTTCTTTTACGTCCCTTCTTAACTACTTATATCGTTTGTATAAGTAGCACACACCACACTACTCACTGCTAGTTGGTTATCATTTTTATGAACTGTTTAGATTGCATATTATGAATAGATTCTAGTTGTGTCATGATGAGATGCTTGTTCAAAAAATAATTGAACGTTGAATGAGTTAGTTTAAACAAAAATTTGACATTGACTACTACTGCTGTGGTGCGCGCTACTTATAAGTAGTATATGACGTGAGTGTCAACGTAATGTCTGGCAGAAGAGAAGATGGGGGAAGATCAAGAAAGGAAGAGTTAGAACACAATGGGATTTGTATGAAACGCATGAATAGTGACAATGGATTGACGATGTTTTGCAACAGGAACAGTCCAGTTCGATATGATGAACTGATATTTTGCAAATGAACGATCTACGATATGGTTTTCCTATTTTACTGAGTAACTCTGTAATTTTTTGTTAAATACAATTCGGTTGCCCCACCTGTATTCTCCTTCACTACAATGGGACTACACATCAGTGGCAGTGTGCATCCATGACTCCTGGAGCAGAAACATCAGGTAGAAATGAAGTGTGTAAATCCCGCCACATATGACTCATAGTTTTTCCTATACATGACAAACTGAGATATGACAGGAACATTCGGCCAAAGATAAGTTCCAAATAAAATGAAACGTACATTTAGAATTCCGATAGTAACTACTACTATTCAACGTTTTGTTGATAAGACTCAAAACTGTTACCATGGAAACAATTAGAAATTAGTGTTGTCACTCCGACTGATATTTTTGATCGATCATTGTTAGACCACCATTAGAAATTCGGAAGCACTGGACGAGTGTTTCATCCTGGTATGGGTTATGACTAGTGGAGTCCAATCCTGTCGAGTCTAGTAGACATTAACTACCGAAGATAAATAGATGAGGTTGTGTAAAATCCCTAGATTGATTACAATGAGACATTGATTCCGTTAGATGCCGGCTTAGCTGTGGTCCAGAGGTTAGACATTCACGAGCAAGACGAAGTGTCCTGAGTTCGATTCCTGCAAGTAGCTAGAGTTGTGGATACGCACTGTCACTGATGAATTCCCGTTACTAGGACGAAACAGCCACCTAGTGATTCTAGGTTTCTAATGGTTGTCTAACACTGATCGATTTTATGATGTAAACGGTTGGTTTGGTTATCTCAGAAGGGGTCTTGAAATTTCCGAAGAAACTCGATTTTCATCCTGAGGCATAATATCTCTTCAAAATGAAGACTTCTCGACTGTCAGGGTAGTGTTTAAATAGTTTGACTTATTTGTTTTAGCGAGTTGGTTTTCTGCCACGTACGGGGTCGCTAACCCCATGCCCAACTGTCCTGTTTTTATCGGAACTAAGGATCAGCGATAAACCATAGGAGAGCTCCAGGTGGGGCTGGATAGGATTCACATTGAGGAAATCATCCTTAATTTGGAACCATCAAGATGGGTTCTGCTGAATGATTCGGAAATTTGAAGAACCACGAAAACCATCATCCCAAAGATACAGACGTTTATTAACAGCTGTCTACATAAAATACTTCGGACCGGTTGGCCAGACATCATCAACAACAACTTACTGGGGGAGAGAATAAACCTGCTCCCAGGTGAGGAAGAAATTGGGATGTAGTACTGAAGGTGGATAGGGCACACATTGCGGAAATCATTCAGTTGCATCACAAGGCAAACCCTAACTTGGAATCTTCAAGGCCAAAGGAAAAGAGGATGACCGAAATGCACATCACACAGTGGACATGAAAAAAATGAAGAACAATTGGATAGAACTGGAAAGGAAGGAGGAAGACAGAGAAAGTCGGATGTCCAAGCTCCTTGAAGAGAAACAGGCATGAATAAGTAGGTAAGTTAAAGTTATGGAGATATGTGTTTTTTACACATTTGAAATCATCAATCAATCATTGTTAGACCACCATGAAATACCTGAAAGCACTGGACGGATGGTGGTATGGAACTACTCATCAGTGGCAGTGCGCATCAACGACTCCTACACCTAGCAGGATTTGAACGCAGAGCCTTCAATCTTGCCCGCGAATGCCTCACCTCTGAACGACTGCCTTCACTCGACAGGGTTGAACTTCTCCAATGATCACGTCTTCTCACTAGAACTCTGAGGATTTCTTCACCAAGCTAGTTAGTCACCAGTAAGCACATTTTAAGATTATAGATTTACACATTTATGAAACCATGAATCGATCAATGTTAGACCACCATGTATGAGCACTGCGACTAATGAGTAGTCCCATATCAAGACTAAATTGCCGTCCAGTTCGAACTCAGGACCTTCGGTATTGTGCGCGAACGCCTAACCTCTGGACCACCAAGCTGGCCGTTATCTAACAATGTTAATGTCTAACTTGATCAATTCACGGAGTGTAACTTAACAATCTTCATAACAACCCCGTAATGCAAATTATCTGTGTTCACTAGTGAGCGACTAGCTTCCTAAGGAATCTTCTCCAAGTTCTAGTGGGAAGACGTGACCAGTGAAGTTCAACCTGTTCAGGTATAGTAGACAGTAACTACTATCGAAGACTGTGTATGAGGTTGCGCAACCCCGTGAATTGATTGAAGTCCGAGACATTAACACCGTTAGATATCGGCCAGCTTGGTGGTCCAGAGGTTAGGCGTTCGCCTACAATACCGGAGGTCCTAGGTTCGAATCATACGGGCGCACTGCCACTGATGAGTCCCATACCAGGACGAAACGTCCCTCAAAACAATGCTTCCAGGTTTCTATTGATGGTGGTCTAATAACATTGATCGATTCATGTGATTTCAAAAAAATGTGTAACTTAACAATCTATCTTCACAACCCCGTCATGCAGATTATAGATTTGTTTTAAATGACTGCATTTAATTTAGGATTCATTTGTATAAAATATGCCATAATATGCCAATTAAAACTGTGTGTGTGTGTGTGTGCAATCCACCAGTCAGTCCATGGAGCCAACACAATTGTTCCACTGTGGGTTTTTTTTTACCTACCACAAATCGTGATAATTGAACTAATAAATACCAGCAATTATGAACTGACTGGCCACCCCCCCCCACCTCCCACTCACTTTAAGTTGTTCGACTATCAATTGTCGTAGTAAAGGAGCGGAGGAGGGAAGTGGGGGTGGGACTAGGAAGCAGAGATGACATTTTAACCAGTTTTATGCATCAGACTAACTCACTTATTACTATTATCATTATTATTATTATTACTACTAAACATAGACTCATGGTTACTATGGTTACTTAAAACTTTCCACCGTTTTTCTCTTCCATATCATGGTGACATTCAATTCAACTATTTCCCTCATTTTACAATCGGTTAATGAATAATTAATCAAGTAGTTTAAATTTGGGTGCGACCAATTTTTGTGTTTCCAAAAAAAAAACGGACAGTTTTCCCGTTTTTTTTTTGCAATTTACAGTAAAAATTCTCCAGAGTAATAGTTACTGTGTGCACGTGTGTGCACGTGTGTGCGTGTGTGTGGGGAAAATACGCGAAATTATGAATTGTACTTAACTGTACTATTAAAAATATATAATAACTGCTAATCGCCTCTCTCTCTCGCCTCCCTCCTCTCCCTCCTCCGCACGTGTATTTTATCGTTTGCGCAATATTTCACTGATTAGCCAATCAGAACAAGGCATCAATTTTTTTTTAAAAAGACGTATTTTATCAATGAACCAATCAGAATTAAGATGGAGAGAAAAAAAAATAATAATTTAGGCATTAAGGCAAAATTTGAACAGAAATATAATCATTAATAATCATGATAAAAATTGTCATTTTTATTCAAGTACAACGTAATTGAAAAAATTTTTTGATCCCATCATGTCACAACATCATCAAAAAAGACCATCATTTATGGTTAATGATTTATTGCATGAAACTGATTTGACATGGAAACATAATTATTGGCAACAAAATGAAGCGTATAATTTTTCAATAAAAACGCCAAAAATTTTATTTGATAATACCGTTAATCAGTCAAATTGGTGTAATATTACAAAAACAAGCTTCAATTGTGATCAACATTTACAACAACAGCATGACAAATGTCATTCACCTGAATTGTATACTGTCTGTGCAAATCATTGTTGGGATAACTGTTTGTTCAGTGTGAAACACGCAGTGTCAATGAGTAAAGGTTAGTTAGTTGAATTTGTTAATGTTTGGGGGTGGTTGTGGTGATTTGATTTTTGTTCATTTCTCTGAGTTGAAATGATGTTTTCGATGTTGTGGAGGTTCCGTTGTTCTTCCTCTGATCATCAGCACAAACTGCTGATGATGATGATGATGATGATGATGTTGAGAAGAAGAAGAATAAAATGCTGAAAGCTCCACACTATTCAAAACATCATCCAGCTCAGAGAACGAAACACTACCATAATCGTTGTGAAGAGTGTTAAGTTTTATTAGAAACCTGCTGAGTAGTCCCATACCAGGACGAAACGGCCATCTTCCAGTGCTTCCAGGTTTCTAATGGTGGTCTACTAACGTTGATCGATTCATGGTTACAAATAAAACTTACCAATCTTCACAACAACTACGCAATGCAAATACATGTGTCCACTAGGGACTAGCTTGATGAGGAATCTTCTCCGAGTTCTAGTGGGAAGTCGTGACCAGTGAAGTTCGAACCTGTTCGGATGTATACAGGGTATGAGGTTGAGCAACTCCATGAATTTGATCAAGTTAGACATTAACACCGTTAGGTACCGGCTCAGTGGTCTAACGGTTAGGGCGTTCACGCACAATACCGAAGGTCCTGGGTTCGTGGATGTGCACTGCTGAGGAGTCCCATACCAGGACGAAACTACTAAAATCATCCACATTGAGCTAAAAGTTTTCTCGCCCCCCCACCCACCATCTCATCATTTGTTACTTTGTCGTCCTGTTGGTATCGGGACTCATCAACACCACATCAATGAGCCTTGTTACTTGCTCTCAGCACACACATTCTGTGTACCCCACCAATGGGATTTCTATACCGGGTATTGGCTTTTCGTTTGGTTAATTTTTTTAAAAAAACTGTTCACTATCTATTTCGTGTGTGTTTGTGTGTACTTAGAAAAATGATGAGTTGGGCATCCGCAGCACATTTACCATTCACCTCAACTTATGAAGTTTCATTACTTCATCTATTGATCTGTCATTCTTACCTAGCACCCGATTCCTACTAACAGCGTTGCTCACTCATGTGTCCCAGGATAAAGGAGCAATGCTTCGAAAACACCTATGATCGAAAACCAGTAACCTACGAATATCTTCTACTCTCACTGGCCATGTTTCACAGCCATAATGTAAGACGGAGCGAACTGCTGCACAGTACACTCATCCTTTAGTCGACAAACGGATATCTCGTCTACGCCATAAGTGACGCAGGTTGGTAAAAGCCAATCGAGCCTTCTGTATCCGTGCTGAGATTTCATCAGTCATCAGGCCATCGGCACTGATGAGTGCCTATCTGTCTATCTATCTATCATGACGAATTAGTTTGAGCTAACAATCATTGATTAAAATTGTTGTTCTCTAGGGTCTTACCATCATCATACTAGGCAGGTTGGCTAGAATAGAAGTGAGGCCGAAAGCCACAAATTCACGGTTTAGCCGTAGTAACTATGTGTGTCTTGTAGACATTAAGCTTTATTAAAAAAACTAACGATAGGTTCTGAAACAATTGTCCTTGAAAATTAACCTAATCGCAAAAGATTTCAGTGTCAATCACTTACTTACTTACGCCTGTTACCCTCTCCCCGAATGGAGCATAGGCCGCCGACCAGTTTTCTCCAACCAACTCTGTCCTGGGACTGCCTCCTTTCCAGTTCTGTCCAATGTTTGTTCATTCTTCTCATATCTTTCTCTATTTCTCGGCGTTATGTGTCTTTTGGTCTTCCTCTTTTCCTTTGACCTTGAGGGTTTTGTGTGAGGGCTTGTCTTTCGACACGGTTGAGTGCTTTCCTCAATGTGTGTCCTATACACTTCCACCGCTTCTTCTTGATTTCCTCCTCCACTGGAATCTGGTTTGTTCTCTCCCACAGTACGTTGCTGCTGATCATGTCTGGCCAACGAATACGAAGTATTTTGCGAAGACAACTGTTAACAAATACTTGTATCTTCTGGATGATGACTTTCGTAATTCTCCAAGTTTCCTCTCCATATAGTAGAACTGTGTTGACATTTGTATTGCAAATCCTGATTTTAATGTTGATTGATATTTGTTTGGAGTTCCAGATATTTTTCAATTGTTGAAATGCAGCCCTTACTTTCCCGATCCACGCCCTCATATCTACATCGGATCCACCTTGATTGTCGATGATGCTGCTCAGATATGTAAAGTTGTTAACGTCCTCCAAGGCATCTCCATCAAGAATGATTCGGTTGGTGCATGTTGTGTTGCATCGGCTTTCTTAATTTTCCTTTGACCTTGAGGGTTCCAAGTGAGAGGGCTTGTCTTGTGACGCGGTTAGGTGCTCATGAAATGTGTTGTAGAGATTGTTGAGTTGCATTTAAAATGAAGAATTGATCAATGTTAGATCACCAGCGATATTAGAAACCTGAAAACATTGGACGGAAGTTACGTCCTAATATGAAGTTAGACATTAACACCATTGGATGTCGGCTCAATGGTTTAGAGGTTAAGCATTGGCATACGAGATCGAAGGTTATGGGTTCGATTCCCTGTGGCGATGTTTGTGGATGTTCATTGTCGATGAGTTTCATACTGTCGGAGACGTTAGATCACCAGAATTCACTCGAAAAAATGTCCTAATTTTGTAAATTTATTGCTGAAATTTTGAATTTCCATGTTTTCGCGCCAGTTGACTTTTGGTTTACATTTCCCCGTCGGAAAATCCTCGATTGTTATTGGTTGATGGATTATTTTAGTATGCTATTTTGTGGCTCTCTGTCCCATGGGGTGTCTCTATCATTGTATATATAAGCTTGTGTTGAGTGCTTAGATACCTCCTCATATGTTCTGGGTACTTTTAGAATACATTCTCTCTATGCCTTATCAAGACTTCTTGATCCTAGTTAGCCGAAGTTGGGGACAAACGGATTAGAATAGCCTATCTTGTCACTGTATCGTTGGCGTTCGTTCTGTTTACCGAGTAAAAAGTCAACTCGTAATCGCATTGAAGCATATCACATACTTGGACGAAATGACTGTATACAATTTAGCATAAATGTCAATCTTGTTTCCATTTCGATGAGATGTGTATGGTTATACTTCGTGGAAATTATTGGATTTTCAAACATTAAAGATTTTTTCCTGCCATGGGGTCTATTCATCAGCAGTGCACAACCACGACGCCTGCACTTCACAGGATTCGAACCCAGGACCTTCGGCACTGTGCTTGAACTCCTAACCATCGGACCACTGGACCGGCACAATACCCGCACAATACCGAAGGTCCCAGGTTCGAATCTTGCGAGGTGCATGAGTCGTAGTTGCGCACTGCCTCTGATGAGTCCTATAACAGGACGAAACGGCCGTCTAAACACTGCTCCCGGGTTTCTAATGTTGGTCTAACAATGATTGATTGATGATTTCAAATTTCTAATGATCACCTGGTCTTGATCAATTCATGCTGTCCACTTCGACTGATTATTTAATCTTACGTTTAAGTGGTATACATAAAACCATATGTGGTAAATTAGAAAACTAAATTCAACAGAAAGCTTTCCGACAAAATATACTACTGATAAGAATAATTAAACAAGAATTTTCAAAATTCAATCCCTTAAAAATCAAAATATAACGAAAGAAAAATTTGAAATTCGAAAAATTTCTTAAATTATTTAAAAGAGAAATTTGTCCTGATAGCGTTGCTGTTGAAATTATGAATCGATCAATGTTAGACTAGCAACATTAGAAACCTAGAAGCACTGGTCAGTCAGTCAGTCAGTCAGTCAGATGCAAGGTAGAACTTCGTACGTAAGTACATCAGTTCATGTTGCCATAGCACATCAGCAAAGGATTTGATTTCGATCAATTTGGTCTCTCGTGCTGTTATGGGTATGAGGGCGGTTGTCACTTCCCGGCTGTCCACACCGTGAAAGGTTGTTTCTTGAGGAATCTGAAAAAGAAGGTAGATGGTCTTAGAGACCTCGGTGCGTGACCGCAGAGTCCAAGGGACAACTGCTTGAGGCCGGTCACGCACGGCCTTTTTATGAAAGGCATTTTGAGGATTAGCTCCGCTCTTAAGAGCCCTTAGTGGGCACCCTTACCCAAGGAGACGGAAATCCGTGAGGTAGGGTGAGGTATGACATTTTTAGGGTCGACCTTTTCTAACCCTTCCTTCCTTGTGAGAAGGCAGCATCGCTGTAGATGCTGGTTGTCCGAGGGAAACACCTTACTGCTACTGTCACACCTCTCTGCAGTCAGCAGTATGACTTCGCCCTCAGACCTTGAGTAGCTGCTTTTAGTCTCATCGTTCTCCAATCGACCACCTGCCTGGCATGGTAGGACCTGCAGGAACATATGTTCCAGCCAGTATAGCTCGGCCGGGTTATCACGATAGTCAAGCCCGACCACCACGACAAGGTAGCAGCTACGGTTGGGAGAAGCACTGGATGACAGTCTGATCAGCAGTGCCCGTCCGCCATCCCCACTAGCGGGAATCCAACCTTCGGAGTTCAACCATGTTGGGTGTGAAGTACTACGCATTGAAGAAAATCAATGAAATTGCGCAAGATCGTGGATTGATCGAAGTTAGACATTCATACTGATGTATGCCGTCTCAATGGTGTAGAGGTTAAGTGTTTTTGGACAAGACTGAAGGTGTTAGGTTCGATTTCCATGTAGCTGGTCATGAATGTACAGCGTTAAGGAGTCCTGTACCAGAACGAAACCGCCGTTTAATGCTTATGAGTTTCCAATGACAGTCTAACCATGACTGATTCATGATTTCAATGAAAACTCAACAATCTTCATAACTCTGCCATGATAATGTGTTGTTTAGACCAGTAATATAGAAAACTCCATGATCAAACTATCCAGTTGAGAAAATAAAATTTATAAATCGATAGGGAATGCTTATTATGTCATGAACTATCTTTGTCAAGAATGTGTTTGTCTTTTTTCGGCTGTATAAGAGGACGCTAACCCATAGGCTCAACTGTCCTCTATTCTCTGACCTTGAG